CAGTGTTGCCAACTCCTCAGTAAGGAAAGTAGCTATTGGCTGTCCCAAAAGTCGCTAGAAGTCGCTAAATGACGTCATCGCCTAATTTGCATAATTTGCCATTTGCAAATAACTGTAACGGACGCTGTAGGAGAGAGGAATAAGGTCGTGGGAGAGACAAAAGTGAGTAAAAACACCCTAAATATGTTTAGAACTACAAATGTACAAAAATAATTTCAACATTAACAACATTTAATGATTTTAATGCTTTGTTAGATCCACATTACACACATCAGTTTTGTCCTGTATTGTTAAATGTTATAACAGCAAATGTAATCAAAAGATTGTTATGTAGGGTGAAATTGCTAGCTCTACAACCAACCCTCCTCCTTTATCCGGGCTTGGGACCGGCAAAGTGACCCAAAAGACACACTCTGGCAGAGTTACTTAGGTTTATTTTTGTAAGTTTTTTTTTTTTTTCATAGTTTGGCATAACAAATGATTTAATGTGACCCACTACTGAGAGAAAACAGAGTCACGGACAGAGCTGCCGCGGATGGAGTGGGGGGTAGTGGGGGGTGGCGGTGGTAGGAGTGGCCGGGGAGCTTTGGATGTGTGGTGGTGGTGGAGCTGAAGTTCAGTCTGCAGCAGCCTGAAAAACTTCCTGTGCTTTTGAGTCTCTCTCTCTCTCTCTGCTCCGCCCATAGACTGTAGCTGGGACTGCTGCGCAAGGCTACTGTGAGACTGGCCGCCTGTAAGTGCTTTGGGACGGGGGAGGGGCTCACGTTGAGGACAGCAGAACAATACGTGCTTCACGAGTCTCCAAAACACCAGATAAGTCGCCAAAACACCAGATAAGTCGCCAAAAACACCAGAAAAAGTCGCTAGATTTGTCGCTAGTCGCTTTTTTGAAAAAAAGTCGCTATAGGGGTCTGAAAAGTCGCTAAATCTAGCGACAAAGTCGCTAAGTTGGCAACACTGTCCCCCCGTGCAGCAGGGGGCGCTCCTCTCCTCCCCGGCCCTTCCTCCTCCTCCCCCCGTGCAGCAGGGGGCGCTCTTCTCCTCCCCGGCCCTTCCTCCTCCTCCCCCCGTGCAGCAGGGGGCGCTCCTCTCCTCCCCGGCCCCCTTCCTCCTCCTCCCCCCGTGCAGCAGGGGCGCTCCTCTCCTCCCCGGCCCTTCCTCCTCCTCCCCCCGTGCAGCAGGGGGCGCTCTTCTCCTCCCCGGGCCCTTCCTCCTCCTCCCCCCCGTGCAGCAGGGGGGCGCTCTTCTCCTCCCTGGCCCTTCCTCCTCCTCCCCCCGTGCAGCAGGGGGCGCTCTTCTCCTCCCCGGCCCTTCCTCCTCCTCCCCCCGTGCAGCAGGGGGCGCTCCTCTCCTCCCCGGCCCCTTCCTCCTCCTCCCCCCGTGCAGCAGGGGGCGCTCTTCTCCTTCCCCGGCCCTTCCTCCTCCTCCCCCCGTGCAGCAGGGTGCGCTCTTCTCCTCCGCCGGCTCCTTGCCTCCTCCTCCCCCCGTGCAGCAGGGGGCGCTCTGTCCTCCTCCCGCCCCTTCCTCCTCCTTCCCCCCGTGCAGCAGGGGGCGCTCTTCTCCTCCCCGGCCCTTCCTCCTCCTCCCCCCGTGCAGCAGGGGGCGCTCTTCTCCTCCCCGGCCCTTCCTCCTCCTCCCCCCGTGCAGCAGGGGGCGCTCTTCTCCTCCCCGGCCCTTCCTCCTCCTCCCCCCGTGCAGCAGGGGGCGCTCTTCTCCTCCCCGGCCCTTCCTCCTCCTCCCCCCCCGTGCAGCAGGGGGCGCTCTTCTCCTCCCCGGCCCTTCCTCCCGTCCTCCCCCCGTGCAGCAGGGGGCGCTCTTCTCCTCCCCGGCCCCTTCCTCCTCCTCCCCCCACGTGCAGCAGGGGGCGCTCTTCTCCTCCCCGGCCCTTCCTCCTCCTCCCCCCGTGCAGCAGGGGGCGCTCCTCTCCTCCCCGGCCCTTCCTCCTCCTCCCCCCGTGCAGCAGGGGGCGCTCTTCTCCTCCCCGGCCCTTCCTCCTCCTCCCTCCCCCCGTGCAGCAGGGGGCGCTCTTCTCCTCCCCGGCCCTTCCTCCTCCTCCCCCCGTGCAGCAGGGGGCGCTCTTCTCCTCCCCGGCCCTTCCTCCTCCTCCCCCCGTGCAGCAGGGGGCGCTCTCTCCTCCCCGCCCCTTCCTCCTCCTCCCCCCGTGCAGCAGGGGGCGCTCCTCTCCTCCCCGGCCCTTCCTCCTCCTCCCCCCCGTGCAGCAGGGCGCTCCTCTCCTCCCCGACCCTTCCTCCTCCTCCCCCCGTGCAGCAGGGGGCGCTCTTCTCCTCCCCGGCCCTTCCTCCTCCTCCCCCCGTGCAGCAGGGGGCGCTCTTCTCCTCCCCGGCCCTTCCTCCTCCTCCCCCCGTGCAGCAGGGGGCGCTCTTCTCCTCCCCGGCCCTTCCTCCTCCTCCCCCCGTGCAGCAGGGGGCGCTCTTCTCCTCCCCGGCCCTTCCTCCTCCTCCCCCCGTGCAGCAGGGGGCGCTCTTCTCCTCCCCGGCCCTTCCTCCTCCTCCCCCCGTGCAGCAGGGGGCGCTCTTCTCCTCCCCGGCCCTTCCTCCTCCTCCCCCCGTGCAGCAGGGGGCGCTCTTCTCCTCCCCGGCCCTTCCTCCTCCTCCCCCCGTGCAGCAGGGGGCGCTCTTCTCCTCCCCGGCCCTTCCTCCTCCTCCCCCCGTGCAGCAGGGGGCGCTCTTCTCCTCCCCGGCCCTTCCTCCTCCTCCCCCCGTGCAGCAGGGGGCGCTCTTCTCCTCCCCGGCCCCCTTCCTCCTCCTCCCCCCGTGCAGCAGGGGCGCTCTTCTCTCCTCCCCGGCCCTTCCTCCTCCTCCTCCCCCCGTGCAGCAGGGGGCGCTCTTCTCCTCCCCGGCCCTTCCTCCTCCTCCCCCCGTGCAGCAGGGGCGCTCCTCTCCTCCCCGGCCCTTCCTCCTCCTCCCCCCGTGCAGCAGGGGGCGCTCTTCTCCTCCCCGGCCCTTCCTCCTCCTCCCCCCCGTGCAGCAGGGGGCGCTCTTCTCCTCCCCGGCCCTTCCTCCTCCTCCCCCCCGTGCAGCAGGGGGCGCTCTTCTCCTCCCCGGCCCTTCCTCCTCCTCCCCCCGTGCAGCAGGGGGCGCTCTTCTCCTCCCCGCCCTTCCTCCTCCCCCCGTGCAGCAGGGGGCGCTCTTCCTCCTCCCCGGCCCTTCCTCCTCCTCCCCCCCCCCGTGCAGCAGGGGGCGCTCTTCTCCTCCCCGGCCCTTCCTCCTCCTCCCCCCGTGCAGCAGGGGGCGCTCTTCTCCTCCCCGGCCCTTCCTCCTCCTCCCCCCGTGCAGCAGGGGGCGCTCTTCTCCTCCCCGGCCCTTCCTCCTCCTCCCCCCGTGCAGCAGGGGGCGCTCTTCTCCTCCCCGGCCCTTCCTCCTCCTCCCCCCGTGCAGCAGGGGGCGCTCTTCTCCTCCCCGGCCCTTCCTCCTCCTCCCCCCGTGCAGCAGGGGGCGCTCTTCTCCTCCCCGGCCCTTCCTCCTCCTCCCCCCGTGCAGCAGGGGGCGCTCTTCTCCTCCCCGGCCCTTCCTCCTCCTCCCCCCGTGCAGCAGGGGGCGCTCTTCTCCTCCCCGGCCCTTCCTCCTCCTCCCCCCGTGCAGCAGGGGGCGCTCTTCTCCTCCCCGGCCCTTCCTCCTCCTCCCCCCGTGCAGCAGGGGCGCTCTTCTCCTCCCCGGCCCTTCCTCCTCCTCCCCCCGTGCAGCAGGGGGCGCTCTTCTCCTCCCCGGCCCTTCCTCCTCCTCCCCCCGTGCAGCAGGGGGCGCTCTCTCCTCCCCGGCCCTTCCTCCTCCTCCCCCCGTGCAGCAGGGGCGCTCTTCTCCTCCCCGCCCTTCCTCCTCCTCCCCCCGTGCAGCAGGGGGCGCTCTTCTCCTCCCCGGCCCTTCCTCCTCCTCCCCCCGTGCAGCAGGGGGCGCTCTTCTCCTCCCCGGCCCTTCCTCCTCCTCCCCCCGTGCAGCAGGGGGCGCTCTTCTCCTCCCCGGCCCTTCCTCCTCCTCCCCCCGTGCAGCAGGGGGCGCTCTTCTCCTCCCCGGCCCTTCCTCCTCCTCCCCCCCCGTGCAGCAGGGGCGCTCTTCTCCTCCCCGGCCCTTCCTCCTCCTCCCCCCGTGCAGCAGGGGGCGCTCTTCTCCTCCCCGGCCCTTCCTCCTCCTCCCCCCCGTGCAGCAGGGGGCGCTCTTCTCCTCCCCGGCCCTTCCTCCTCCTCCCCCCGTGCAGCAGGGGGCGCTCTTCTCCTCCCCGGCCCTTCCTCCTCCTCCCCCCGTGCAGCAGGGGGCGCTCTTCTCCTCCCCGGCCCTTCCTCCTCCTCCCCCCGTGCAGCAGGGGGCGCTCTTCTCCTCCCCGGCCCTTCCTCCTCCTCCCCCCGTGCAGCAGGGGGCGCTCTTCTCCTCCCCGGCCCTTCCTCCTCCTCCCCCCGTGCAGCAGGGGGCGCTCTTCTCCTCCCCGGCCCTTCCTCCTCCTCCCCCCGTGCAGCAGGGGGCGCTCTTCTCCTCCCCGGCCCTTCCTCCTCCTCCCCCCGTGCAGCAGGGGGCGCTCTTCTCCTCCCCGGCCCTTCCTCCTCCTCCCCCCGTGCAGCAGGGGGCGCTCTTCTCCTCCCCGGCCCTTCCTCCTCCTCCCCCGTGCAGCAGGGGGCGCTCTTCTCCTCCCCGGCCCTTCCTCCTCCTCCCCCGTGCAGCAGGGGGCGCTCTTCTCCTCCCCGGCCCTTCCTCCTCCTCCCCCCGTGCAGCAGGGGGCGCTCTTCTCCTCCCCGGCCCTTCCTCCTCCTCCCCCCGTGCAGCAGGGGGCGCTCTTCTCCTCCCCGGCCCTTCCTCCTCCTCCCCCCGTGCAGCAGGGGGCGCTCTTCTCCTCCCCGGCCCTTCCTCCTCCTCCCCCCGTGCAGCAGGGGGCGCTCTTCTCTCCTCCCCGGCCCTTCCTCCTCCTCCCCCCGTGCAGCAGGGGGCGCTCTTCTCCTCCCCGGCCCTTCCTCCTCCTCCCCCCGTGCAGCAGGGGGCGCTCTTCTCCTCCCCGGCCCTTCCTCCTCCTCCCCCCGTGCAGCAGGGGGCGCTCCTCTCCTCCCCGGCCCTTCCTCCTCCTCCCCCCGTGCAGCAGGGGGCGCTCTTCTCCTCCCCGGCCCTTCCTCCTCCTCCCCCCGTGCAGCAGGGGGCGCTCTTCTCCTCCCCGGCCCTTCCTCCTCCTCCCCCCGTGCAGCAGGGGGCGCTCCTTCTCCTCCCCGGCCCTTCCTCCTCCTCCCCCCGTGCAGCAGGGGGCGCTCTTCTCCTCCCCGGCCCTTCCTCCTCCTCCCCCCGTGCAGCAGGGGGCGCTCTTCTCCTCCCCGGCCCTTCCTCCTCCTCCCCCCGTGCAGCAGGGGGCGCTCCTCTCCTCCCCGGCCCTTCCTCCTCCTCCCCCCGTGCAGCAGGGGGCGCTCTTCTCCTCCCCGGCCCTTCCTCCTCCTCCCCCCGTGCAGCAGGGGGCGCTCTTCTCCTCCCCGGCCCTTCCTCCTCCTCCCCCCGTGCAGCAGGGGGCGCTCTTCTCCTCCCCGGCCCTTCCTCCTCCTCCCCCCGTGCAGCAGGGGGCGCTCTTCTCCTCCCCGGCCCTTCCTCCTCCTCCCCCCCCGTGCAGCAGGGGGCGCTCTTCCTCCTCCCCGGCCCTTCCTCCTCCTCCCCCCGTGCAGCAGGGGGCGCTCTTCTCCTCCCCGGCCCTTCCTCCTCCTCCCCCCGTGCAGCAGGGGGCGCTCTTCTCCTCCCCGGCCCTTCCTCCTCCTCCCCCCGTGCAGCAGGGGGCGCTCTTCTCCCTCCCCGGCCCTTCCTCCTCCTCCCCCCGTGCAGCAGGGGGCGCTCTTCTCCTCCCCGGCCCTTCCTCCTCCTCCCCCCGTGCAGCAGGGGGCGCTCTTCTCCTCCCCGGCCCTTCCTCCTCCTCCCCCCGTGCAGCAGGGGGCGCTCTTCTCCTCCCCGGCCCTTCCTCCTCCTCCCCCCGTGCAGCAGGGGGCGCTCTTCTCCTCCCCGGCCCTTCCTCCTCCTCCCCCCGTGCAGCAGGGGGCGCTCTTCTCCTCCCCGGCCCTTCCTCCTCCTCCCCCCGTGCAGCAGGGGGCGCTCTTCTCCTCCCCGGCCCTTCCTCCTCCTCCCCCCGTGCAGCAGGGGGCGCTCTTCTCCTCCCCGGCCCTTCCTCCTCCTCCCCCCGTGCAGCAGGGGGCGCTCTTCTCCTCCCCGGCCCTTCCTCCTCCTCCCCCCGTGCAGCAGGGGGCGCTCTTCTCCTCCCCGGCCCTTCCTCCTCCTCCCCCCGTGCAGCAGGGGGCGCTCTTCTCCTCCCCGGCCCTTCCTCCTCCTCCCCCCGTGCAGCAGGGGGCGCTCTTCTCCTCCCCGGCCCTTCCTCCTCCTCCCCCCGTGCAGCAGGGGGCGCTCTTCTCCTCCCCGGCCCTTCCTCCTCCTCCCCCCGTGCAGCAGGGGGCGCTCTTCTCCTCCCCGGCCCTTCCTCCTCCTCCCCCCGTGCAGCAGGGGGCGCTCTTCTCCTCCCCGGCCCTTCCTCCTCCTCCCCCCGTGCAGCAGGGGGCGCTCTTCTCCTCCCCGGCCCTTCCTCCTCCTCCCCCCGTGCAGCAGGGGGCGCTCTTCTCCTCCCCGGCCCTTCCTCCTCCTCCCCCCGTGCAGCAGGGGGCGCTCTTCTCCTCCCCGGCCCTTCCTCCTCCTCCCCCCGTGCAGCAGGGGGCGCTCTTCTCCTCCCCGGCCCTTCCTCCTCCTCCCCCGTGCAGCAGGGGGCGCTCTTCTCCTCCCCGGCCCTTCCTCCTCCTCCCCCCGTGCAGCAGGGGGCGCTCTTCTCCTCCCCGGCCCTTCCTCCTCCTCCCCCCGTGCAGCAGGGGGCGCTCTTCTCCTCCCCGGCCCTTCCTCCTCCTCCCCCCGTGCAGCAGGGGGCGCTCTTCTCCTCCCCGGCCCTTCCTCCTCCTCCCCCCGTGCAGCAGGGGGCGCTCTTCTCCTCCCCGGCCCTTCCTCCTCCTCCCCCCGTGCAGCAGGGGGCGCTCTTCTCCTCCCCGGCCCTTCCTCCTCCTCCCCCCGTGCAGCAGGGGGCGCTCTTCTCCTCCCCGGCCCTTCCTCCTCCTCCCCCCGTGCAGCAGGGGGCGCTCTTCTCCTCCCCGGCCCTTCCTCCTCCTCCCCCCGTGCAGCAGGGGGCGCTCTTCTCCTCCCCGGCCCTTCCTCCTCCTCCCCCCGTGCAGCAGGGGGCGCTCTTCTCCTCCCCGGCCCTTCCTCCTCCTCCCCCCGTGCAGCAGGGGGCGCTCCTCTCCTCCCCGGCCCTTCCTCCTCCTCCCCCCGTGCAGCAGGGGGCGCTCCTCTCCTCCCCGGCCCTTCCTCCTCCTCCCCCCGTGCAGCAGGGGGCGCTCTTCTCCTCCCCGGCCCTTCCTCCTCCTCCCCCCGTGCAGCAGGGGGCGCTCTTCTCCTCCCCGGCCCTTCCTCCTCCTCCCCCCGTGCAGCAGGGGGCGCTCTTCTCCTCCCCGGCCCTTCCTCCTCCTCCCCCCGTGCAGCAGGGGGCGCTCTTCTCCTCCCCGGCCCTTCCTCCTCCTCCCCCCGTGCAGCAGGGGGCGCTCTTCTCCTCCCCGGCCCTTCCTCCTCCTCCCCCCGTGCAGCAGGGGGCGCTCTTCTCCTCCCCGGCCCTTCCTCCTCCTCCCCCCGTGCAGCAGGGGGCGCTCTTCTCCCTCCCCGGCCCTTCCTCCTCCTCCCCCCGTGCAGCAGGGGGCGCTCTTCTCCTCCCCGGCCCTTCCTCCTCCTCCCCCCGTGCAGCAGGGGGCGCTCCTCTCCTCCCCGGCCCTTCCTCCTCCTCCCCCCGTGCAGCAGGGGGCGCTCTTCTCCTCCCCGGCCCTTCCTCCTCCTCCCCCCGTGCAGCAGGGGGCGCTCTTCTCCTCCCCGGCCCTTCCTCCTCCTCCCCCCGTGCAGCAGGGGGCGCTCTTCTCCTCCCCGGCCCTTCCTCCTCCTCCCCCCGTGCAGCAGGGGGCGCTCCTCTCCTCCCCGGCCCTTCCTCCTCCTCCCCCCGTGCAGCAGGGGGCGCTCCTCTCCTCCCCGGCCCTTCCTCCTCCTCCCCCCGTGCAGCAGGGGGCGCTCTTCTCCTCCCCGGCCCTTCCTCCTCCTCCCCCGTGCAGCAGGGGGCGCTCCTCTCCTCCCCGGCCCTTCCTCCTCCTCCCCCCGTGCAGCAGGGGGCGCTCTTCTCCTCCCCGGCCCTTCCTCCTCCTCCCCCCGTGCAGCAGGGGGCGCTCTTCTCCTCCCCGGCCCTTCCTCCTCCTCCCCCGTGCAGCAGGGGGCGCTCTTCTCCTCCCCGGCCCTTCCTCCTCCTCCCCCCGTGCAGCAGGGGGCGCTCTTCTCCTCCCCGGCCCTTCCTCCTCCTCCCCCCGTGCAGCAGGGGGCGCTCTTCTCCTCCCCGGCCCTTCCTCCTCCTCCCCCCGTGCAGCAGGGGGCGCTCTTCTCCTCCCCGGCCCTTCCTCCTCCTCCCCCCGTGCAGCAGGGGGCGCTCTTCTCCTCCCCGGCCCTTCCTCCTCCTCCCCCCGTGCAGCAGGGGGCGCTCTTCTCCTCCCCGGCCCTTCCTCCTCCTCCCCCCGTGCAGCAGGGGGCGCTCTTCTCCTCCCCGGCCCTTCCTCCTCCTCCCCCCGTGCAGCAGGGGGCGCTCTTCTCCTCCCCGGCCCTTCCTCCTCCTCCCCCCGTGCAGCAGGGGGCGCTCTTCTCCTCCCCGGCCCTTCCTCCTCCTCCCCCCGTGCAGCAGGGGGCGCTCTTCTCCTCCCCGGCCCTTCCTCCTCCTCCCCCCGTGCAGCAGGGGGCGCTCTTCTCCTCCCCGGCCCTTCCTCCTCCTCCCCCCGTGCAGCAGGGGGCGCTCCTCTCCTCCCCGGCCCTTCCTCCTCCTCCCCCCGTGCAGCAGGGGGCGCTCCTCTCCTCCCCGGCCCTTCCTCCTCCTCCCCCCGTGCAGCAGGGGGCGCTCCTCTCCTCCCCGGCCCTTCCTCCTCCTCCCCCCGTGCAGCAGGGGGCGCTCTTCTCCTCCCCGGCCCTTCCTCCTCCTCCCCCCGTGCAGCAGGGGGCGCTCTTCTCCTCCCCGGCCCTTCCTCCTCCTCCCCCCGTGCAGCAGGGGGCGCTCTTCTCCTCCCCGGCCCTTCCTCCTCCTCCCCCCGTGCAGCAGGGGGCGCTCTTCTCCTCCCCGGCCCTTCCTCCTCCTCCCCCCGTGCAGCAGGGGGCGCTCCTCTCCTCCCCGGCCCTTCCTCCTCCTCCCCCCGTGCAGCAGGGGGCGCTCTCTCCTCCCCGGCCCTTCCTCCTCCTCCCCCCGTGCAGCAGGGGGCGCTCCTCTCCTCCCCGGCCCTTCCTCCTCCTCCCCCCGTGCAGCAGGGGGCGCTCTTCTCCTCCCCGGCCCTTCCTCCTCCTCCCCCCGTGCAGCAGGGGGCGCTCTTCTCCTCCCCGGCCCTTCCTCCTCCTCCCCCCGTGCAGCAGGGGGCGCTCTTCTCCTCCCCGGCCCTTCCTCCTCCTCCCCCCGTGCAGCAGGGGGCGCTCTTCTCCTCCCCGGCCCTTCCTCCTCCTCCCCCCGTGCAGCAGGGGGCGCTCTTCTCCTCCCCGGCCCTTCCTCCTCCTCCCCCCCGTGCAGCAGGGGGCGCTCTTCTCCTCCCCGGCCCTTCCTCCTCCTCCCCCCGTGCAGCAGGGGGCGCTCCTCTCCTCCCCGGCCCTTCCTCCTCCTCCCCCCGTGCAGCAGGGGGCGCTCCTCTCCTCCCCGGCCCTTCCTCCTCCTCCCCCCGTGCAGCAGGGGGCGCTCCTCTCCTCCCCGGCCCTTCCTCCTCCTCCCCCCGTGCAGCAGGGGGCGCTCTTCTCCTCCCCGGCCCTTCCTCCTCCTCCCCCCGTGCAGCAGGGGGCGCTCTTCTCCTCCCCGGCCCTTCCTCCTCCTCCCCCCGTGCAGCAGGGGGCGCTCTTCTCCTCCCCGGCCCTTCCTCCTCCTCCCCCCGTGCAGCAGGGGGCGCTCTTCTCCTCCCCGGCCCTTCCTCCTCCTCCCCCCGTGCAGCAGGGGGCGCTCTTCTCCTCCCCGGCCCTTCCTCCTCCTCCCCCCGTGCAGCAGGGGGCGCTCTTCTCCTCCCCGGCCCTTCCTCCTCCTCCCCCCGTGCAGCAGGGGGCGCTCTTCTCTCCTCCCCGGCCCTTCCTCCTCCTCCCCCCGTGCAGCAGGGGGCGCTCCTCTCCTCCCCGGCCCTTCCTCCTCCTCCCCCCGTGCAGCAGGGGGCGCTCTTCTCCTCCCCGGCCCTTCCTCCTCCTCCCCCCGTGCAGCAGGGGGCGCTCTTCTCCTCCCCGGCCCTTCCTCCTCCTCCCCCCGGCGGACTCCCGTGTGGCGCCGCTGCTGCTGTCGCTGTCTGTGGGAGCGTAATGGCGGCGCTCCGGGGACCCTCCACGAAATGGCTCTTCTCCCGGGAGCAGCTGGACAACACGCCCTCCCGCCGCTGCGGAGTGGAGGCGGACCGGGAGCTCTCCTACCGACAGCAAGCCGCCAACCTCATCCAGGACATCGGCCAGAGACTCAACGTGTATCCGCTGTTAGCACAACATGCTAACCTATGCTAGCGGCGTTAGCTTCACAACACTCACTGTAGCGTCTGATGTACGCGTTAAACCCACGTGTGTCATGACTATTCTCAGCCCAGACACGTGCTAGCTCAGTTTACCGCTGTGACAAAGTGTGAAAAGTATAAATATATGTGTTATTTAGTGTTTTATTTGAGCAGACGTGGTACGGCCTAGCAGCTAGCTTAGCTTTTGTTCATACGCATATTCTTTGTTAGCGGCGACGCAAATAACACCGGTCCCATCGCATCGAAACGCTTCCGTTGTGGATCACTGTAAATGTGTGTTTTCTGTCATTTACAAACATGTGACGTCAGAGGAATTGTTTTGGATCCGCCAAGGTTTTATTTTAGTCAATATGCTCTGGTTCAGCTGTCTACGTAGCAGCAAATTCACCCACTCGACGCTTTTTCTCTTTTTCTGTGTGAAAGTCCTTAACCTCTGCTCCTCCAGCTCTCAGCTCATCATCAACACTGCTATAGTTTACATGCATAGGTTTTATATGATTCATTCTTTCACTAAGTTCCATAGAAACGTGAGTACAATCGGATTGGTGGTGGTTTGATTAGATCATCCGCAGCTGCTAATCTGTTTGTTTTTGCAGGTCATTTCACAAACTACGTTATTCCTCGCTGCAAAAGTAGAGGAACAGCCCCGGAAACTTGAACACGTTATTAAAATAGCACACGCATACATTAATCCCCAAGAGCCTCCTATAGACGTAAAGGGCAGTGTAAGTTTACTCATCTCTTGGTTCAGTCTTTTACAATCTAACTTTATATTTGGTCCAAGTATTTTCTTATACATATATTTATACACATATTTGAACTGAAAGATCTGCAGCGGTTACAGATAAAGCATATGATGAGTTTTATCAGTAAACTCTTGAATGTTATTACACTGTATCAAGATGAATTTGCTAAAATAGATTTCTAATGTGTTGATTTTCAGGCATTCCAGCAGCAGGCCCAGGAGCTAGTGGCCCTGGAAACGATTGTGCTGCAGACGCTGGGTGAGTTCTTCTAAATTATAGACCAGAGCTGGGAAAGGGAACTTAACCCCGTAAATGCCAAAGTAAACAAGAGCTATGGTGAAGTATTTTAGGTGCAGTTTCTGGAGTGATGTGTTTACCTCACATTAATCCAGTCTCTATAGTCGGTATATAATCAGTTTGTGACTAATAATCACAATGTATTTCTCTCACGTCTTAAGCCTGGTTCACACGGCAGGATATTTAGGCCGATTTAGACCCGATTTACCCCTTACGACAATCTTAAGAAACGCTCCGATTTCCGTAACAAAGTCTTACAGATTATCCTGCCGTGTGTGGTGTGTTAAGACTGTGGTCGTCGCTCGGAAGGACATCGGGACTGCTCCCGATCTCAAATCGGGGATATCCAACATGTTGGATTGTTTTGGCCCGATTTCTCTTCGCGTGTGGTGTCCCCCGAGGACAGACGTGCGCGTTGCCATGACTGCGGCGTGTAGCCAATCAGAAGACGAGGCGGTGAGGAAACGCCTCCATATCACGATGTAGCAAGTATAGTCCATGCTCGTGTTGTCTACACTTCTTTTCATTACGTCTTTTCTCCGATAAAAACAAACTATCGCCAATGCATCCTCTTCGTCCGCCATGTGTGTTTACTCTGAAGTCACGCTTGATCTCGCGAGACCTGAGATTTCCGTCTGATCTGTGAGTACTCGGGGGGGGGGGGGGGGGGGGGGTTGTGTGTGGTTTTTGTGATTTCTGCCGTGTGGCTGCGCACCACACACTGTACGACCAAAGTGATTAGACCCGTGATTTTTTATCTCCCTGTGTGGGGTCTCACACAGAGAAAAATCGGCCGACAATTTTAAATAGTCTCGTGTGAACCAGGCTTAAGTCCATGTTCCTCTGATCTTTTAAAGACTTATCTTCTCCGCTGTAAAGACGCAGCATAATAACTTTGAAATGAAGTCCTTAGTGTAAGGTTTATAGGACGATATTCTACGAATCAAGACTATTGGTCCTCCCAACTGTCAATCAATCTGGTGATACGTGCTCGTCCAATGAGAGCAGAGAGATTTGTTCAGAAGTGGAGAGGGCGGTTCTTTCCTAACATTCTGGAAAATCCTCCTGTAAACCTTTTAAGCTCGATAAAGTGCTTCTGTTCCGTTCTGTTTGGTCACAATGAACTGAGCTTGTGCTTTTATGAGTCTTTATTTGACAGTGTGGTCGTGTGCAGCTGATGCTTATGTTCATTACATTACACAGATGAATAAAACATATTCACAGCAGAGATCCAACACAAAGACATTCCCACCATGTTTTAACATTTATCTAACATTTACTTCTGACAGATTCTTTAGAATAGACTTGGGGCAGAATGCAGGTTTCGATCCAAGTTTTTCATCTTGATCTGACTGAACCCTTTATTCCAGGTTTTGAAATAACTGTAGATCATCCTCACACAGATGTGGTGAGATGTACCCAGCTAGTTCGAGGTAAACAACTTGTCGTTTTGCTAATATCCGGTACTAACCACTCGCGCTAACTGTGGATATTTCTTCCTTTTTCAGCAAGCAAGGATTTGGCACAGACTTCCTATTTCATGGCTACCAACAGGTTATTATCCTGTTCCCTCTATTGCACTGTAATGCACACTATAGCGCCTCCCCCTGGTGCGTCCATGCCCTCGCGCCCGGCCGTGGGAGCCCCGTGGGGGGTGGGCCTGGTCGGGCGCCGTGCGGTGTAGAGTACAGGGCCGTGAGGAGCCCAGGGGCGCGCACATGTGGAGGTTCTTTGGTTCAGAGTGCATATGTCTAAGAAACACTTTGGTAGCCTGAATATAGATTGCCACTAAAGATTCTTAAACTTTTAGAGCCAACGGTAAGTATCGCCACAGTCACTTTGTACTTTATCCTTTTTTTGCTTTTCCCAACCCCTTTGAAGCTTACAAAGTACACTGCAAACATGGTCCGGGTTAAATGTGGCGTCTGTAGAATCGAACCGAGTCTGGAGCTGGTCACAGTCACTCTTCCACTTAGTGTTAGAACCATCAAACTGAAACTTTATCTGAACTGAACTTTAACATGTTCTTGAACATGTTCTTGAACACGTTCTTTAACACGTTCTTGAACACGTTCTTGAACGCGTTCTTTAACGCGTTCTTGAACACGTTCTTGAACACGTTCTTGAACACGTTCTTGAACACGTTCTTTAACACGTTCTTTAACACGTTCTTTAACACGTTCTTGAACACGTTCTTGAACACGTTCTTGAACACGTTCTTGAACACGTTCTTGAACACGTTCTTGAACACGTTCTTGAACGCGTTCTTGAACGCGTTCTTGAACGCGTTCTTGAACACGTTCTTGAACACGTTCTTGAACGCGTTCTTGAACGCGTTCTTGAACACGTTCTTGAACGCGTTCTTGAACACGTTCTTGAACACGTTCTTGAACACGTTCTTGAACACGTTCTTGAACGCGTTCTTGAACGCGTTCTTGAACACGTTCTTGAACGCGTTCTTGAACGCGTTCTTGAACACGTTCTTGAACGCGTTCTTGAACGCGTTCTTTAACGCGTTCTTGAACACGTTAAAGAACACGTTCTTGAACACGTTAAAGAACGTGTTCTAGAACACGTTCTTGAACACGTTCTTGAACACGTTCTTGAACACGTTCTTGAACACGTTAAAGAACACGTTAAAGAACACGTTCTTGAACACGTTCTTGAACACGTTAAAGAACACGTTAAAGAACACGTTCTTGAACACGTTCTTGAACACGTTCTTGAACACGTTCTTGAACGCGTTCTTGAACGCGTTCTTGAACGCGTTCTTTAACGCGTTCTTGAACATAATCTCTGACGAACTCTAACATTATGGTTCTTTGTTGACTCTGGTGGAGAACAGAGTGATTGTGAGCGGCTGAGTTTGTTTTGTTCTTGTTGCAGTAAAACCAGGAGAAAACAAACGACTCTTCGTGTGTTTATCTCGTTCAGAAAATGGTTTTGATCATTTAATGTTTTAATGTGACGACAAAACCACAACAAACATCATGTCTCTGGTTAAACTTCGAATCATTCATAAATCTACCTCTAACTAATCATTGTCGTCACATCCTCAGGTTGAGCTTCAGTGTTTGCTGTAGTTTGTAGTTTGTTAAAGCTTTAACAATTTGGCCTCAGTCGTTTGTGTTTCCTCGTTCTTATGCTCCTGAAAAACTAACTTCTCCTTTTCTGTTCATCTGTGTGTGACATTTATGAACTGTTCAACTTGAGTAGCATTATCTCTATAATAATGTGATCTCTATAATAATGTGATCTCTATAATAATGTGATCTCTATAATAATCTCTATAATAATGTAATCTCTATAATAATCTCTATAATAATGTGATCTCTATAATAATGTGATCTCTATAATAATGTGATCTCTATAATAATGTGATCTCTATAATAATGTGATCTCTATAATAATGTGATCTCTATAATAATGTGATCTCTATAATAATGTGATCTCTATAATAATGTGATCTCTATAATAATGTGATCTCTATAATAATGTGATCTCAGGCCAGTGCTTGGACGGTTTAGTTTCTGTAGGAAGAGCTTTGTTTGTCTCCCGTCGTCCACTTTCCCCAGAAGAAGCTAACGAGGTCTAGAAACTACTGGAGAATGTTGCTAACAGATGCTAACAGATGCTATGGTTGTGAACGTCTCAGAGCTAATCAGACACTAGCATTAGCTTCATGCGCTGTGAAGGAAGAGGACCACACTGTCGTTGCTAATGGGAGTTTAAGTCTATACAGCTGAAAACAGGCTCCTGTGGTGTTAAAACCTGGAGAGCAGAAAGGTTGATGATTGCTAACTTTGACTCTTTAGCATTTGCACGGACAGAGGTAAGGTGTGTTGGTGAACTTTGTCTCCTTAGCTTAAGCTAGTGCCCAAAGTTAGACTGATTATTAGAATGAGTGATGTTAAATGTAAACGTGTGTGTGTTGTGTTGATGCAGGTGGATCTAAACGTGTGTGTGTTGTGGTTGCAGCCTGCACCTGACCACCTTCTGCCTGCAGTACCGGCCCACCATCGTGGCCTGTGTGTGCATCCATCTGGCCTGTAAATGGTCCAACTGGGAGATCCCCGTGTCCACCGACGGCAAGCACTGGTGGGAGTACGTGGACCGCAACGTGGACCTCCAGCTGCTCGACGGTGAGGGTTTTAGAGTCTCGTTTGTTCTCTTCATGCTTCCATTGTTTTACATGTTTAAAGTTGTACCTGCTCGACGACGTCATGGATCATATTAACGGCTTATTAAAACGAGTGCGAGGTTAATGTTTTATTAGGACTGTTTTTAATTTATGCAAATATCCATCTTCGACGTGTTTTTATCTTTCTGATCTGTCAATCTCTTCTTGACTGTTATGTTGTGTTTTCACTTCCTCTGGCTCTTCAAAGTAGCTAATTCTTTTTTTACCGAGAAAAGATGTAACATTTGATACGCGCTGCGGACCAATGGTCGTAACGGTCCCGTAAATCAACCAATCAGAGCGCGCGTACGATCCAAGTCATATAATAAGTGAATTATCCATGATGTCGTCGAGCAGTTTATGCTTCTGTTGTTCCTTTGGGCTTCACGTGTAACATGTGAACGAGAGGGTTTCTCTCTCTGTGACTGAGGCTCTCTCTTTCTGTGACTGAGCCGCTCTCTCTGTGACTGAGGCTCTCTCTCTCTGTGACTGAGGCTCTCTCTCTGTGACTGAGGCTCTCTCTCTCTGTGACTGAGGCTCTCTCTCTGTGACTGAGGCTCTCTCTCTGTGACTGAGGCTCTCTCTCTCTCTGTGACTGAGGCTCTCTCTCTGTGACTGAGCCGCTCTCTCTCTCTCTGTGTGACTGAGGCTCTCTCTCTCTCTCTGTGACTGAGGCTCTCTCTCTCTCTGTGACTGAGGCTCTCTCTCTCTCTGTGACTGAGGCTCTCTCTCTGTGACTGAGGCTCTCTCTCTGTGACTGAGCCGCTCTCTCTCTCTCTGTGACTGAGGCTCTCTCTCTCTCTCTGTGACTGAGGCTCTCTCTCTCTCTGTGACTGAGGCTCTCTCTCTCTCTGTGACTGAGGCTCTCTCTCTGTGACTGAGCCGCTCTCTTTCTGTGACTGAGGCTCTCTCTCTCTGTGACTGAGGCTCTCTCTCTGTGACTGAGGCTCGCTCTCTCTCTGTGACTGAGGCTCTCTCTCTGTGACTGAGCCGCTCTCTTTCTGTGACTGAGGCTCTCTCTCTCTGTGACTGAGGCTCTCTCTGTGACTGAGGCTCGCTCTCTCTCTGTGACTGACTGCTAATTTACACATCACGCGTTACAGCACGTACGCGTTATACGCGCAGCAGACGCGCGTAACTTTTTTCCATGTTAACCTATGATGATATTTACACTTCTAGCGTTATACGAGCGTATGACGGACGTACGACGCGAAGCTGCGCTCTAATTTAGGATGGATTTCTAATTTTGTGCGCGCACCAACGCGTCTCCCATTGAAATCTCATGTAAAACATGATTTTTCTAGTGGTCCTTGGCTCTAGATCGCAGTATACGCACACACAGCACTTGTATCTAAACATCAGCAGGAGGAGCAGCAGGTTTTACAGTGATTCTGGACATAGTTTTTTTTCTTTCATAAAGTCTGGCGTCTGGCCAAACCAGCAACAGAGACCATGAAGACAAACACATGCATGTGATTTGTGTTGCTCTACATCAGTCCTCTGGCCCGTACTGTCCTCTGCACTGCTCCATAGACTACACAGGGAGAGCATCAGAAGACGCGGACCTGCGCGCACGGCCTGTGTAGATACTCCAAAAAAATGTTACGCGCAGAGAGCGCGCAGTAAACGGGTACGCGCTGTTTACGCCTACTGTGTAAATCCCCTGTGAGGCTCTCTCTGTGTGACTGATGCTCTCTCTCTCTCTGTGACTGAGGCTCTCTCTGTGACTGAGGCTCTCTCTCTCTGTGACTGAGGCTCTCTCTGTGTGACTGATGCTCTCTCTCTCTCTGTGACTGAGGCTCTCTCTGTGACTGAGGCTCTCTCTCTCTCTGTGACTGAGGCTCTCTCTGTGACTGAGGCTCTCTCTCTGTGACTGAGGCTCTCTCTGTGACTGAGGCTCTCACTGTGACTGAGGCTCTCTCTGTGACTGATGCTCTCTCTCTCTCTGTGACTGAGGCTCTCTCTGTGACTGAGGCTCTCTCTCTGTGACTGAGGCTCTCTCTGTGACTGAGGCTCTCTCTGTGACTGAGGCTCTCTCTGTGACTGAGGCTCTCTCTGTGACTGAGGCTCTCTCTCTCTGTGACTGAGGCTCTCTCTCTCTGTGACTGAGGCTCTCTCTCTCTGTGACTGAGGCTCTCTCTCTCTCTGTGACTGAGGCTCTCTCTCTCTCTGTGACTGAGGCTCTCTCTCTCTGTGACTGAGGCTCTCTCTCTCTGTGACTGAGGCTCTCTCTCTGTGACTGAGGCTCTCTCTCTCTGTGACTGAGGCTCTCTCTCTCTGTGACTGAGGCTCTCTCTCTCTCTGTGACTGAGGCTCTCTCTCTGTGACTGAGGCTCTCTCTCTCTGTGACTGAGGCTCTCTCTCTCTCTGTGACTGAGGCTCTCTCTCTCTGTGACTGAGGCTCGCTCTCTCTCTGTGACTGAGGCTCTCTCTGTGTGACTGAGGCTCTCTCTCTCTCTGTGACTGAGGCTCTCTCTCTGTGACTGAGGCTCTCTCTGTGACTGAGGCTCTCTCTCTCTGTGACTGAGGCTCTCTCTCTGTGACTGAGGCTCTCTCTCTCTCTGTAACTGAGGCTCTCTCTCTGTGACTGAGGCTCTCTCTCTCTCTCTGTGACTGAGGCTCTCTCTCTCTCTGTGACTGAGGCTCTCTCTCTCTCTGTGACTGAGGCTCTCTCTCTCTCTGTGACTGAGGCTCTCTCTCTCTCTGTGACTGAGGCTCTCTCTCTGTGACTGAGGCTCTCTCTCTCTCTGTGACTGAGGCTCTCTCTCTCTGTGACTGAGGCTCTCTCTCTGTGACTGAGCCGCTCTCTCTCTCTCTGTGACTGAGGCTCTCTCTCTCTGTGACTGAGGCTCTCTGTGACTGAGGCTCTCTCTCTCTCTCTGTGACTGAGGCTCTCTCTCTCTGTGACTGAGGCTCTCTCTCTCTGTGACTGAGGCTCTCTGTGACTGAGGCTCTCTCTCTCTCTCTGTGACTGAGGCTCTCTCTCTCTCTGTGACTGAGGCTCTCTCTCTGTGACTGAGGCTCTCTCTCTCTGTGACTGAGGCTCTCTCTCTCTGTGACTGAGGCTCTCTCTCTCTGTGACTGAGGCTCTCTCTCTGTGACTGAGGCTCTCTCTCTCTGTGACTGAGGCTCTCTCTCTCTCTGTGACTGAGGCTCTCTCTCTCTGTGACTGAGGCTCGCTCTCTCTCTGTGACTGAGGCTCTCTCTGTGTGACTGAGGCTCTCTCTCTCTCTGTGACTGAGGCTCTCTCTCTGTGACTGAGGCTCTCTCTCTCTCTCTGTGACTGAGGCTCTCTCTCTCTCTGTGACTGAGGCTCTCTCTCTCTGTGACTGAGGCTCTCTCTCTCTCTGTGACTGAGGCTCTCTCTCTCTCTGTGACTGAGGCTCTCTCTCTCTGTGACTGAGGCTCTCTCTCTCTCTCTGTGACTGAGCCGCTCTCTCTCTCTCTGTGACTGAGGCTCTCTCTCTCTGTGACTGAGGCTCTCTGTGACTGAGGCTCTCTCTCTCTCTCTGTGACTGAGGCTCTCTCTCTCTGTGACTGAGGCTCTCTCTCTCTGTGACTGAGGCTCTCTCTCTCTGTGACTGAGGCTCTCTGTGACTGAGGCTCTCTCTCTCTCTCTGTGACTGAGGCTCTCTCTCTCTCTGTGACTGAGGCTCTCTCTCTCTGTGACTGAGGCTCTCTCTCTCTGTGACTGAGGCTCTCTCTCTGTGACTGAGGCTCTCTCTCTCTGTGACTGAGGCTCTCTCTCTCTGTGACTGAGCCGCTCTCTCTCTCTCTGTGACTGAGGCTCTCTCTCTGTGACTGAGCCGCTCTCTCTCTCTCTGTGACTGAGGCTCTCTCTCTCTGTGACTGAGGCTCTCTCTCTGTGACTGAGGCTCTCTCTCTCTCTGTGACTGAGGCTCTCTCTCTCTCTCTCTGTGACTGAGCCGCTCTCTCTCTCTCTGTGACTGAGGCTCTCTCTCTCTCTCTCTGTGACTGAGGCTCTCTCTCTCTGTGACTGAGGCTCTCTCTCTCTCTCTGTGACTGAGGCTCTCTCTCTCTCTCTGTGACTGAGGCGCTCTCTCTCTGTGACTGAGGCTCTCTCTCTCTCTCTGTGACTGAGGCTCTCTCTCTCTGTGACTGAGGCTCTCTGTGACTGAGGCTCTCTCTCTCTCTCTCTGTGACTGAGGCTCTCTGTGACTGAGGCTCTCTCTCTCTCTGTGACTGAGGCTCTCTCTCTCTGTGACTGAGGCTCGCTCTCTCTCTGTGACTGAGGCTCTCTCTGTGTGACTGAGGCTCTCTCTCTCTCTGTGACTGAGGCTCTCTCTCTCTCTGTGACTGAGGCTCTCTCTCTCTCTCTGTGACTGAGGCTCTCTCTCTCTGTGACTGAGGCTCTCTCTCTGTGACTGAGGCTCTCTCTCTCTGTGACTGAGGCTCTCTCTCTGTGACTGAGGCTCTCTCTCTGTGACTGAGGCTCTCTCTCTCTCTGTGACTGAGGCTCTCTCTCTCTCTGTGACTGAGCCGCTCTCTCTCTCTCTGTGACTGAGGCTCTCTCTCTCTCTGTGACTGAGGCTCTCTCTCTCTGTGACTGAGGCTCTCTCTCTGTGACTGAGGCTCTCTCTCTGTGACTGAGGCTCTCTCTCTGTGACTGAGGCGCTCTCTGTGACTGAGGCGCTCTCTGTGACTGAGGCGCTCTCTGTGACTGAGGCGCTCTCTCTCTGTGACTGAGGCGCTCTCTCTCTGTGACTGAGGCGCTCTCTCTCTGTGACTGAGGCTTTCTCTCTGTGACTGAGGCTCTCTCTCTCTGTGACTGAGGCTCTCTCTCTCTCTGTGACTGAGGCTCTCTCTCTCTGTGACTGAGGCTCTCTCTCTCTGTGACTGAGGCTCTCTCTCTCTGTGACTGAGGCTCTCTCTCTCTGTGACTGAGGCTCTCTCTCTCTGTGACTGAGGCGCTCTCTGTGACTGAGGCTCTCTCTCTCTCTG